TGATTTTGAGACGGTGGTGCAGTGATGAGAAGGGGAGGAAAAAGTGACTTGTTTCCTTCATCCCCTATCTTTACAAGCTTCCTAATCTGAAATATTAATTTTTGGTCTCCACAATACATACTCAGCCCTTGCAAAATGTTTTGGTTTTTTTGTTTGTTTTTTTTTTTTTTTTTTTTTCCACATGGCTTTCCCCACTAAATTAACAAATTCTGCCATGAAAATACCTCTCCTGAGCTACAGTCACTATTCAGTACACCTGTGTCTTATGCCTGTCTGCAACATCCCTAGTATTATCTTTATCCTGAACTAAATTTTGCCCCCCCTGCACATTTCCTTCCCCAGTGATTTCAGGTCCTACACTTAGTGTGCATTCCCGTTCCTCTCCCGTGACTCATCTCCAGTGTCTTATAGGCGATTAGCTTTGCTCTCACATGTCTGGTCTTTCCCCAGATCCTATTTAAAGTGACAGTTACTTATCTTCATTTGTGCAAGAGCAATATTTTTGAGTTCCCATTAGAAACAGATAATGGTGGGGGGAAGAAGTAGTTTCAGAGAGGAGCAGCCAGCTCTGCAGTCAGCTCCAGGCTGCCATGCTGGGTGTTACAGCAATATACAGCAGGGAGGAGGACGGATCAAGTGCCCTCACAGGGACACTGAGGGACCAGGCTGGTCCCTAGGGCACACCGTAGCTACTGGCTACTGCCAGGAGCAGCAGCCTCTACCTGCCCACCCTCAGAGATAGAGGGTGTGCGTGGACCACCCTCGTTCTGCTGGTGACATCCCCACAAACACTTAGGACAGGCTGCACTCCCCTCTGACTCCAAAAAACCTATGTCAGATCATGTTTGATGTAAACTGGCGTGACATGGTGATGACAGATCTATAGCTACGTAAAGATAAGGAGAAATCACTGCAGTACAGGGAACTGGAGCATGGCGATGCAGGTTTAGTTCTTAACTCAGCTGCAGCTTCTTGCGTAATTCTGGAAGTTTCCTTATTTTTTGTTTGTTTGCTTGTAACTGGAAACACATGGGTTTGGGAAGCGAGCTTATACTGAGTTGGGCAGAAGAAAGAGATGGGCAACAGTGCAGGAATTCCCCTCAGATGCATGTAACCTTGTCCCAAGGTCAGCGCTACCACATATAACTTCTATGAGAGCACACAGTAGTTATGAATCTGCCCAACTTTGTCTGATAATAGTTAATTTACTTCAAAAACCAGTGATCGCTTTGCTTGCATTTTGCCTAATTAAGAAAAGCTTTATGTATTTATATTTTTTTTAATTTTCTAATTCAGTAAAGGTAATTAGTGAGCAATACAGAACCCCTCCTGCGTAAGCCCCTTTCATGTGACTTGTCCCATTAGCCTTTTTCCATGGCTTTTATTTGCTACTAAAGGAATAGCACATGTGAAGTGATGTTTGGGATTTAGAGTATTATAAAAGCCGTCTGCTATGTGACAACTTTTTAGAACTAATTCTGAGAAAATCAGAGTGCGTGAAACTGAATTGTAAAAATTCTGACTACAGACACACTAATCCTCTACAACACCAGAGCTACTGATAGATTAACTCATTAGACTAGATGCACACAGTTCAGAAAAAGAAGCTGTGGTCACATCCCTGGGCAGGCTTTCATATAATGATTTAAAAAATCTGCCTCAGCTAGATTAGAACTGTCATGGCAGGCTGGAAACGCTCTCCTCAGAGTCAGCCTTGTTACTTAAAATACAGCTATGCAGTCAAACTGCAGAAGTAAACATAACAAAAATTGTGAAGCTAAAAGCTCAAAAGTTAGGAAATGCCAGACTAAGTTGCCTTTTCTGACTCATCGCTCTTCCCCTTCTTCCTTGTCTTACGGCCAGTGCACACAATGCAAAACTATTCAGTGTTTCAGTAGTTGCCTCATTTTTTACCGCATAACCTCAGGCCTTCATTAAAAATGCCCGATAGAAAGGAAAAAAAAATAGCACCCTGGTAGATTGTTCTATGACGCTCAATGTTTACTTCAAATACATCACAAATAACGATTTTTAGAGTACCTGTAAAGTGAGACATTTATATAGATCTCATTTCCTATTTGGAGACTAAAGGAATTAAGACCCGAAGTGTCTATGAAATGCAAATGCTGTGTGTGTAAGACACTTCAGAGTGAGTTTTAAACTTCCTTTTCTATCACGCTTCGTATGTTTGAGACCGTGCTTGCACAGTGTCCAGTCACAGCTGTTCCTTCTCAGCAGACCTGCAGACTAAGGGGGAACTCCTAAAACTAAGTATCAGTAGAAGATACTTCGAATGACTTCATGACTATTAACATCTCAACTTTGGGAGATGAAGGAGGGATACAATTAAATTTTAAGTGCAAAGCTGAACTGTCAAATATGAGATTTTTGTTTTCATTTAGTATGTGTGTTCTACGCATTGCTTAGAGAGGTTGGAAGTGCTCCAGATGAAATCTCCCCCTCTAGTACGCTGTGCAATCGGAGCCTTAGCTTTGGGGTAAATGAGGCATGGACAGAAAATGTACAAAACAGGGCATGATAATAATTGTTTGGTAATGCAGTCATAAGAAATTAAAATAAGAAACTCAAGACAGCCTTGACTTTGGTACTTTTGACTTTGCAAACACAGTAACATTTTAACTGCCTGATGTGTTTGTGATGTTTTACTCTAAGTTGAAAAAAGACCCCCAAATCAAGAAGAAAGTCCAGTATATGGCATGGTAATGGCATTTGCGAGTGATTAGCAGAGCTGCAACCGTTAGGTTTGGTATATATATATGATTCTTAATCAAAACCTTAAATGGCAAACAGCAATCTAGCTTCATTACGAGGCAGGCCTGGAGCAGAGGAGTATGGGGCACTGTGACAAAAAGCTTCGTAAGTATTCCCTGACAGTGAAGAAGATCAAGCTTGCAGCTCTGTGGAGAAGCCTCCTCCCTTGGGTGCACATGTACCTGCCTGTTCTCCCCAAACCTGTGTCTCTTAGGGACAGCTATTGTCCTGCCCATTACTCTGTTGCCATTTCCTTTCTCAAATGTCATTCTTGTCACCCTCTTGTTCCCTGTTGTTGCGCCTAACTCCTGATCCCAGGAACACACCATCCAACCAACCAAATTCAGCTTCCAGTTTTCTGACTGGATCTCCTGCTTCAGTGAATCTCAGTTCCTCCCCTGCGGGTTTCCCACACAATCCATCTTTATTGCTCCTCTTCTCCACCACTGTTTCCCATTTCCCCATATCCCTTATTCTCCTTCCCATCTATCTATATTCCTATAGGAATTCCTATAGGAATATAGTCTTTTTGTGATAGTCCTCAGAAATTTGCACCAGTACTAGTTTTCTTCACATACCCAGACTTCTCTCCATCTACTGTCTCCATCCTTCCCTAACATTTTTTCTTAGTTTCCACCTCTTCAGCCAGTTTCTGCCAGTTTCCCACCCAAGCAAGACCCTCCCTGCCCCCAATCTCTGCTATTGCCATCTACCGAGTTTCATTTTATTATCGAATCACATTTTGAAGGCAATCCTTACCATGCTAGTCATTTAGCCTGTTTATCCTCACCCCCAGTGAAGAAAAAAACAGGGCAAATTGTAAGGGCTTACATTGTTTCATCATGTTTTCCCAATTTTGTTCAGACCAGGCAACATCATAACAGACATTAATCACACAGATTATGTTCAGATAAAGCAACATCTTAACAAAAGTGTTAGCGACATTATTAGCCCAGAAATCTTGTGCACGTGAAAAGTGAAAAATTGTCTACTGCCCCAGGATTGTCAGCTGTGAATTTTACTGCAAATCCTGTTCTAAAATAATGAAGAATTGTCTGACAAATTAAAAGTCTGCATTAAATTTGCAATGCCTTCCTTTTGTCACCTGATGACCACGTTTCAGGTGATGATTTGTCAGTGCTAGAGATGCTTTGCAGAACATGGCTCTCACATTCCATTAGCCTTTCCAGATGAAGGGAAGACCATCCCCTTTGGCTTTGAGAAAGCTGGATTTGGCAGCAATCTTGAAAACCACAATTCAGTCAGAGGGATTGAGAAGGACAAAAATGGCTCAACTGAGCAGAGGGGGAAAGATGTGGAAGAATACTAGAGAAAACTGAAAAGCCAAGGTAGTGTCAGGAGCTACAGAAGGAGTGAGGTGAAAGTGGGCATATATTGTGGCAGGTGGAAACAGAGTATCACATAGGAGACTGTGGAAAAGGAAAGGAAAATAGGCAGTTAAACTGTTTTTTCAATATCTAGTGCTACGTCTGATAACAGACCTGTTAACCTGTTGGAAAACTTTGTCTTAGTGTACGTGACTCATGAGCACAAGCGTTCGTAGACATCTGCTCTACAAATACGTGGAGAGGCATGTCCCTTGTTGACTTTTGCTGTTGTTTAGCCTTGATTCACTTCCTCAGCAGCTGGTCCTAGCAGAGGATCTATCCACTCACTGCTCAATTCTGCAAACAGAATGGCTGCTGAATGACCAGTGAGCCAACCTTTGAGAAAAGACCAGCTTTCTTGCTACAGCTGCCATTCTCTGCATCATCTTGAAAAAGTTCTATTTCTGTCTGTGTATCCATTTTAAAATTTCAGATATCAGAATTACCCACAGCCCCACACTACATTTCATTTCATTACTTTTGCATACTGAAAAAGCACTGTTTGAAAGTTACTTTTGTAGTGGTGATGCTGAAGTCTTGTGACATGACCTTATAGTTTAGTACTGCAATTACAAAATATTTTCCTTAAAATATATTCCACGTTGTTGTTTGTGGTTTTTTTTTTCCCCACAAACTAGCAATAAGATTCTCTTGATTACAAACAAAATCAGAAATTAACTTGCAAAGGCAAGGAGGCAATTTGCCTGCTTGCAACTATGTTGTCTTCTGCCAGTATCAGAAAATAATCAAGAAAAGCAGTGTAGGATACGTGTTCAGTTTTAAAGCATAAAATGTTACAAATATATCTGGGTTCTAGAAAACACGTTTCTAGCAACTTACTTTCACTAGCTGAATAGTCCTGTGGATCAAGTATCCCTGATTCCTGCAGTGATCTAATACAGGAGTCCACCAGCTCCAGTCCAGTGGTGAGCTCATCTTCTATATCCTTCTGACCATCTGTAATAAAATTAACAACACGAAAATGTAACTGAAAGGCAAAAGGTAAAACCAGTTACAAGACAAAAGGTGAAACCAGTTACACGTGACTAAGCATTCACAGCTGATGAAGGAAGGGAGAACACACCAAGATCACATACTCAGGAGGAGGCTGGCCATATTGAAAATTATGCCATCCTTTGAAAGTAAATTTGAAAATTACTCCTTGGAGTAATAAAAGCAAAATGAAAAGTTCAGTTTGAATCTTAAAAAAGTTAGAGACTTGTTTAGCAATGTCCCCTCTATAAACTCTGTGTTTAGTCTTGGTGTTCTTTTAGTCAACCCTAACAACTTTTGCCCAATGTTGCCAGTTTTTAAGTAGGCTTTTCACACACTAGCAATAAAAAAAAAAAAACCAAAAAAACCCCAAAACATAAATAAATGTTGTTTTCCCCTCCATCTTCTTTATGAAATATGACCATTCTGGGAGAGAATATATGTACATTACCTTGTGTTTGCCAGTGAAACTGCTCTTCTGTTGAACTGTAAAGAGAAAAAAAAAATGTTAATTTTTTATTAAATGATTCAGTAGTGTGCCACCAATATTCAGATCTAAAACTATTCTGAAGGAACCGATTTAAGAATAAAGGAACTGATTTAAGAATAAATTACACACTCAAAATATACTGAGTGTTATTTTACATATTTGTTTAATAAATGACTTGCACAGCATTGA